CGACCCCACCCCCTATCGAATGATCGCGATCACGGGTGTCGGTGTGTACGCGCGCGTTACGCCGCTTTTAAGTACCGTTCACACGTGTCGGGTGAAAAATTCTATCCACCTTGAACGCAATGGGGGTAAAATTTTATGGATTTTGCTCCGCTGGAAGCGTCGCGTCGGAAGTATCGAGAGTCACATTCAGCGATGATGGTGAACTTTACGCGCGGCGATGGTAACAGCGTCTACGAGTGTATAAAGGATACTCGTAACTCCGTCGTATCTCGACTTGTAAACTTCCAATATCTCCGGGGAGAGCTGTATTTAAGTCGCCGTTGCGCTCAAATCGCTTTGAATCCACTGTGTGCATTATTATTTGAGAAATTGTGTCGTTCCACGACACGACGTAGCTTAACGCCGGGACTTTAAACGCATTAATACCGCTCGCATAAAAGACGGAATAACGCGTTAGAGGCTAACCGCCTCTCCGATGCAAACCCGAGAGGCTGTAATCCGACGGGTTTATCTCGACGTTGCACGGGCACGGATTGATGCGAATAACGATGAAGTGAACGATGACGGGCCGTAAGTGACGCAGTGTCGTCAGCTCGTCAGCTCGGTAGCATGGATGATCGCGATCGGGGTCAATTGCTATCTGCGATCTGAAGAACGCAGGTTGCCGGTATTCGCGATTTTCGAATGCCGCCGCATCTTCCTGCGCCTCCGCGCCGTTAACGATGTGTTTCTTTTTATTGCACGCTCTGCTCGACACACGTAAACCTGTCGATACCGTCGTACACTAAACACGATCAAAGTATACGCAAATGCCACTTTATGAATTATTCATGTAAGTCGATCGATATTCCGCACCGCCGTGGATTCGAACAATTGCCGTGACGCCGATAAATACACCGATACGTGTTTTATATTAAGCGCCGCGCTCGGCTGCATAAAGCGCGGCCGTTTCTACTGTACTTTCCGTCGGCCACTTATTCTCGAATAAATTTTAAATGGATTTTTTCCCGGTCAAAATTTCATGAAAGAGGCTCTTGCTTCTGCGTTTTTACACACGCTTTTAAATATATCCTAATAGTCAAGTTTTAAATTAGAATCCTATTATAAATTTATTACACACACACATACACACAAAATTAAAAAATGTAATTGCAATTTAAAAATAATATCAAATTAAAAGGGACAATTATTTCAAAATTAAGAACGAATGCACCTGTGGAGATATTTTTAAAAAAATAATTCAATTTATTGTTTGCAATTAAAATTCCAGAAAATGTGCCGTCACCAAAATGACGCATTTTCACTTAATTGAAAGCACACATTCGTCAATATCGCGAACGGACGAGAAATGCGTCCGGCCGTCTCTCTCGCGCTCTCCGCCCTCTGCGACCTATTTTTCCAACAGCGTTATGACGCCATCACGGTGACGTCACCGCCGCACTGACGTCACCACCGCTCCCTTACGTGACCATTCAGAATGACCTCGTTTCTCTCCCTTCGAATTTCGCCCTCGTTGATTCCTCCCTCCCATGCGCTGTCCCTAAAGCTTAATGGCCGCCTTCTATGCCATTCATGTGAATATTCCCTCGCTTAACGGACGTGCTCTATTTCATAAAACGGTTTGTTATGCGGTCGTCTAAATGCGATGCGCCCTCGATGACGCCCTCGATACGCCCTCGATATGCCAATTGCGGCTTCTTCACGATCGATAAAAATTCTATCAGAGTGCACTCGCATAATTTCGTCGTTATAGATATTACTTGCGCTTATGTAAAAAAATTCTTAACACAATTATCGATGTACTTTATATGTATGATCGTGGGGAAAAAACGTTGCGTATATCCTGTGCTCGATATTGACATTTTAAATGATCAAAATTGCAACGCCAAGCCGGAAAATGATATTTTAACTCGTTAAATCTTGTAGAATAATTCAATATTATCTGAAACGACATTCTTCTCAAATACTTTGATACTCTTTAAAATTTATTAATTTAATAATGTAATAACTTGAATTCTTGAGGTCAATTTAGTTTAATGTGTATCAAATGCACATAACTTAAATTTCAAAGGTTTGAAGCGCATACGATGTATAAACCGCACATTGCCGAAGTCCGACGAGATCAACCTTCGTTTTGAATTGCGATTTTTAAAATCGAAATGAAAAATAACAAAATCATATGACGCTCCAATTTCAAGAGTTTCAAATAAACCACTTCTACGTGTGCAGCCATGCGAATTACAGTCGAACCGTCGAATATTTCGCATCAAATGCGCGTAACAAACTCGCATGTGGTTAAACCGCAAGGTAAAACTACGAAGCCGGGCTGGTTAGTTAGAAATACCGTAGGCTGCAGCTGAATCATTTTAGTTGCAGAATGTCGATAATTGAACATGTACGAACACGTGCGCTATAGCTACGAGATTGAAGCGCAAAATAGGATTACGGCTAACAGACGCATGCATGTTAACGGCTCAGTAGTAAATCCAGATATTCCGCCGACGTAGGAAAGTTCCGTGATCAGAGAAAAATCTGCCACTGATTTCGCGTCTCGCGCCGATAAAGAAATATCATCTCGAATTCTATGGAGGCTGCGAAGAATTATCGGATTGTTAATTGGAATTTTTTAAATCGCGTCGGAGCTTGAAACGATAGAATATATTTAGTGAGGGAATATTCGATTGCGCAGAAATAAAATTATTTTATAAAATACATAATTGTGTGAGATTATTCTCAATACACAGAATTCGTTGCAATTATTTTATCCACATGGTGTGGATTATCGTTACATTTTCGATTCAACTCTAATTTATTTAATTCAATTTGGACTCAATAAATATATCTATATAAGCATCTTGCTGCAAATTATTTTTCTTTAATTATTTATTGAACCATATCATCATGTAAATTAGCCGTTAAAAGAAAATCAAAGTCTTTCGAAGTTGCTTTAGTCTACTTATAAAACTTGATTCTCAAAGTAAGGTCAAGGAATTTCCATTTAATTTACCACACGCTACCGCGAGCGCTGCAATGATCTTGCAAATTAGAACGGAAGAATGACTTATTGCGAAGCAAGACATTTTTAATAATAACAGCAGTCTAATAATAACCGCTTGCTGCTCTTCCGTTTAACGAGAACTACTTGTTATAATTGAAAATAGCGAAGGATATAAATATTTTTTATGATTATTGCATCGAGAATTTTATTATTTTATTAAACAATGACACGTAAGTGTGTGAGAGAAAGAGAGAGAGAGAGAGAGAGAGAGAGAGAGAGAGAGAGAGAGAGAGAGAGAGAGAGAGAGAGAGAGAGAGAGAGAGAGAGAGAGAGAGAGAGAGAGAGAGAGAGAGAGAGAGAGAG